TGGATGGATGAGTGAATGGGCAGACAGACACAGTGCTTCAAAGGCCAAGACAGCTGTTTGGAAGTTTGCAGAATTAGGGCTGACTCTGTTGCCTTCTGGGCTGCATCGACTTTGGTCTTTTGGTTTTGGAGGCAGATCCTCACACAGTCCAGGCTGGCTTCCTATTTTCTATGCAGCAGAGGATAACCTTGAACTCTTAATCCTCGTGCCTCTTCTTGGTGAGTGCTGGGTTACAGGTAAGGGACACCACACCCCAGCACAGCTTCAGTTTGTGCCTTTTATACAAACGAAATGGGAATTGCAGGGACTCTGAGATCTAGATCCTGCCTTGAGCTTGTGATCTCTTACTTCTTGCCCCTCCAAGCTGCCTGCCACCCAGAGGCTACTTACTGTCTTCCAGCCTCATCCAAAAGGTGACTTCTTCTGAGACAGGTTCTCACTATACTGCCCTGGAATTCACTTTGTAGACCAGGTTGAACTCAGAGATCTGCCTCTGCCTCCTGAGTGCGGGGATCAAAGGCCTATGGCACTATGCCCAGCTAGGATTCGTGTGTGTGTGTGTGTGTGTGTGTGTGTGTGTGTGTGTGTGTGTGTCTGTGTGTTTGTGTGTATGTGTGTGTGTGTGTGGGTGTGACTTTGGACCCCGGCTGAAACTACAGAAGGGCATCAGATCCCCTGGACCTGGAGCTACAGGCATTATGAGCAGCCGGATGTGGGGGCCTGGGAATTGAACTTGGTTTTTGTTGTTTGTTTTGAGTCAGGGTTTCTCTGTGTTTGCTCTGGCTGTCCTGGAACTCACTCTGTAGACCAGGCTGCCTCAAACTCACAGAGCTCCTCCCGCCTCTGCCTCCTAAGCGCTGGGAGTAAAGACGTGGCCAACAATGCCAGGTTTGAACTTGGGTCATTTTAAGAGCAGTGTTCTTAACCATGGAGCCATCTCTCCAGTCACCAAAAGTGTTTTATTTATTTATTGTTTATTTATTTATCTTATATGTGTGTATGCCTGAGTATTTGTGTGTCCACTGAGGTCAGAAGAGGACATCAGACAAATTCCCTGGAACTGGAGCCGCCATGTGGGTGCTGAGAATTGAACCTGGATCCTCTGGAAGAGCAGCCAGTGCTCTTAACCACTGAGCCATCTCTCCAGGCCCGAAAAGTGAGTCATCAGAACCATCTGGGCCCTGGAGGGCTGATGGATGTGGACAGGGAAGCAGAAGCTGAGGTTGCAGCCATCAGCCTGGCCCCTGTGCAGATGGGGACTTGCTCTCAGAGGTGAAGATACCTGACTAGTCCCAGTCATGGGTCCTCCATGTCACTCCACAGTCCTGAGTCCTCCATGTGGCCTTCCTTTTCCCTGTCTTTTCAAAGAGACTCAGGAGTCAGTGGCAGGATCCTCAGCTTCAAGCAGGTACCCATGCCATCTGGACCCTCTGCAGTTTTCTCTCCCCTACAGGCCTTCTTGCTAACACGTAACCCGCCCATTATCCCTCTCCTGGGGAGTGGGTCTCAGAGTACAGTAACTCTGTGGACCCTCTCCTGGGCCCTTCACTGCCACCTACATGCCTTTCCATTTGGGAAGATTAGCACTGGGCTGTCACAAGCTGAGAACAGACTGAGTGACAGCCACCACCCTTTTCCTCAAGAGTCAGGGTCTAAGATCGTTGGCTTTGGTCCATTTCTTCATGAGGCACCCCCGGCCCCCAGCCTTTCCAGTTTCCTGCTGTGGGCTCAGTTGTGGCATCTCAGACTCAGAGGCCCATTTTGACCTTGGGCCCCTCCACCAGAAACTTTCTGACCCTCCAGGGAAGGCCCCTCCCCAGCCCCAGGTTCCTCCACAGAACCTGAAGCTGAGAGGCCATAGGGGCTGCTGGGCTGCAGAACTTACTTCCAGTCCAAACCAAAGCTGAAAAGAGGCCACCTCTAATTACACCAGAGTGCAAGGTGCCCTGAGGCCTTTTGTAGTAAATGGTTCTCAATAAATTCAGTTTTTCATTCATTATTATTAATTATTTCCCTGAGCCAAGGTAAACGGGAGGCAGGGCCCTGTTCAGCCCTGAACACTCACATTGCTGTCAAATGCTGGGACAAATGTGGGACTCTGATACTTGAGTTGCTACCCATATGGGCTCCAGTGTGGCTGGCCATGGGCCTGGAGGGACCAAAGCAAAGAGGATTGCAAGCAAGACTGAGGAGGCTTGCAGCTTCCCTGCTATAATGTGCCCATCATGGCTGGTGTGCAGATGCTGGCCATCTAACAAACGGCTTGCAAAGTTGCTCCAAACCTCACATCCACCCCCATGAGCCCACAGGGGACTGTATTCAGGCTGGGGATATGGCTATGCCCAGTGGAATGCTTGCTTGGCATATGTGAAGTCCTGGATTTGATCCCTAGCACTGAACAAAAGTGGGCTGGTGCTACACACCTGCCATTCTGGCAGGAGGATCAGAACTTCAAGTTCTTCCTTTGCTACATAGGGAGTTTGAAGCTAGCCTGTGCTGTGGAAGACCCCATCTGAAAGATATATATCTCTATCTATCTATCTATCTATCTATCTATCTATCTATCTATCTACATATATCACTATAGATAGATAGATAGATAGATAGATAGATAGAGACATGCATACACACACACACACATTAAATAAGCAGGATAAACATTAGCATATTGGAAACAAGTTGGAAATATCTACAGTGACTTCTTGGGTCTAGACCAGGTTTTTAAAACCTCAGGCCACAGTTTGGTGGCTGCAGCAGTAGCTCAGGGGAACTCATCAAGGACCAGAGAGCCTCCTGAGGCTCCTCAGCTTCTCCTCTGAGAAGCTGAGCTGAGGGATGCTGGTGACATCTGAGACTCGCTGCCCTAGTGCAGGGTTCACCTTGCTGCTGGTACTGTGGGCTGGATTGTTCTCTGCATGGGGGTGGGGGCAAACAGGGGGCATCTTGTGAGTTGCAGGAAGCTGGCCTAACCTGCATTACCTGGTTACACCCACCGGCTGCCATGTAAGCAGCCATCTCCCAACTCAGGACAGGACATGTCTGGACACTTTCAGGGAGTAAAACTGCCCCTATGGAGAATCCCTGGCTTGAAGGAGGTTCTCTGACTTTTAGAATGTCTCCACATATTTAAGCCCAGCAAAAACCCAGACCCGGGTCCTCATGGCAGCTTTGAAATGGACCTGATGTCATGGGCCGTGTAACCTGGGGAGTTAACTCTGCCTCCATTTGCTCACTTGTAACATACACCTGATTGATAGGGTGACATCACCTGATAGGACACCTGAGGTTGAAATGAGACCTTGGACATGGTCCCAGCCCAGTGTTTGCTCACCTGTATCGGGAGCAGGGCAGCAGACACCTGATAGGATGGATGAACTTGGATATTACAGTCCCAGCCTGGAGTCCTACACACAGGGAACCCCAAAAGTGCCTCCATATTTCTGACTGGTGACCTCAAGCTCTCCCACAGTGGGCTGATGCTCTCTGGCCTCACACTTCCACATTTGGCTAAGAGGCCAGCTGAGGCAGGTAGGTATGGAGGGCCCACTGACAGGAGGGCCCTGTGGTCACAGAGCTGTGAGGACCTCTATTGGGTGCAGGCAGCACCTCATTTTCCAGCCCAGTGCCATGATCCATCAAGACAGCGGTGTCTGGGGATCCTAGCCGGTCTCCACCATGCTGAGCCAGCCCTGGAGGTCCCAGGAAAAGACAAGAAAAAAAAATAACATTTCTTCTTTATCATATCACATCCCATTAAAATATTTATTTCAAGAAATAAGTCTTTAAAAAAAAAAAGGGAGAAGAGTGTCTCTATTGCTTTCCTCTGACAGTCAAATCCTCGGAATCACAGGTCTCTTGCTGCCCTGGGCTCTGCCGCCACCGGGGCCAACCAGGCCAGGGGGCACCAGCAAGTCCCACAGAGGCTGGCCCTTCCTATGACTGTCTGGGCCCAGGGAGACTGCCTTCATGAGGCTGAGGGCGGGCCATACATGAACATGGCAGTGTTCCTGGAGGCCTGGCTGGACTCGGCAGGCCCTGGGGTTAGGACAGGGAAGGGTTACCCTGCACTGGAGGTGGGCATGCCACATAGAGATGGGTACTGAACTCTGGAAGTGGCCTGAGGCTGCCGGAAGCAGAAGGGAGTGACAAGGATGGAGCCTAAACGGGTGGGGGCCACAGAAGGTCTGGTAGACTTGTGAACCAGAACTAGCCAAGTGTACCACGGGTGAAACTTCAGCCTAGCCTGGCCGGCATGAGATGCCAAAGGTTGGGAGCGGTGTCAGAGCCTGCAGAGGACGCCTTGGTGGTCTGGGCCTGTTGTCAGAGGCTGTGGTGGAAATGCCCCCGGAGGGCAGAGATGGACGCTGTGGACCAGTCACAGATCATGCCAGACCTGGGTCTCAGAAGAGGCCCAGAGTGAAACCCGCTGGAGAAGCAGGAGTGAGGGACAGGGATGGTGGCCTAGGAAGAGGGCAGAGTCCCTTCCCCAGCCTCCCCGAGTTCTCTGCGCTTTGTCCACCCCAAACAACGATGGACACACTGGCCCTGCATGAATTGCTGAATCATAAGAGGATGTGGCCCTCACAGCAGGTGTGGCTGTGGCCTGTTCCCCATTCCTTAACAACTCTGGTGAACTAGGGTGCAACATGGCCATGTTCTTGTAAATCGGAAGGTCTATCCTGAGCCCAAGAATGGCCAGGGTCAGGCCTCCAGCTGATCCAGGCCTCAGAAAGCAAGGGGTCTCCATTCACGTGCCCCTGGGCCCACCAGACAGGTAGGTCAGCTCATGTGCTTGGCCATGAGTCCTGTGGTAAGAGCAAGGAGGCCCCTAGGATGGAGCTGCAGGCTTGGAGCTGCTGTCTCCTCAGCCTCCTCTTCCTGCCCTTGGTCAGGGAACGAGGAGCCAGGAGCCGTGCAGTGAGCACGGCTGCAACTCAGAAAGTGCTGGTGCTTGCTTGCCAACCAGGGGTGGGCAGACACTGGCAGGGTGGCCTCCGGCCTCACAGGCAGCCCTGGCACAAGGCCACCTGGCCCTTGAGGAAGTCACGGCAGGGGCAGAGCCTCTGGTACTTGGTGCTGGCACCGGCACAGCTGAAGAGCAGCGGCTCTTTCTGTAGGTAGCATTCTTGGCCGGGTTGGGCAAAGGCGGGGTACAAGTGATGCATCTCCCACTCTGTGCTGTCACAGGGCACCTGCAGCCTGCAAAGGTGCCATCAGCATCATCACTCTTGGTTGAGTGGGATGACAGCTGCCCCCAGCTTAGCATGGCCCACCCCGTCCCTGGACCAGAGAAAACACAAGCCATCTGTCAGAGCTCTGAGAAGCCACGGGCCTGGATTCTTGGTGACCAGCTGGAGAGATGCCACACAGGCTGGGAAGGGGCCAAAGGAGGTGGGAAAGGGCAAGGCCAGAAGGGATGTCATCTATGGATCTTTCTTGGCTGAATCAAAAGTATTAAACCCCCATCCACAGGGAAGCCAGGCAGGTGGGATGGTGGGGACACGGGGAGGGGCTCACACTCACTTGAGAAATGCATCTTGGCTGTTGAGATAGGGGAAGAATGAAGGCTCGCAGACTAGCCCATGGTCCAGGCAGGCATCTGTGCAGGCTCTCCCAGGGGCTGCCAGCCAGGCCCGCAGAGAGTTGGTGGGGGGCCAGACTCCTACAATCGAGCTGATGTTCTGGGCCCACTCGAGATGAGTGGCATTGGGAGCTAAGACAAAGGGACTCTGGGCAGTGTGGGCACCTGGTGGGACCGGGCTTGGACCTGCACAGAAGTCCTGTCAGGAAAAGAGAGGTATTAGGGAAGGAGATGGGTTTTGTCTAGAGTGCCCAGCACTACAATTTCAGTAAGAGCCACTACTGAGCACTTACTGAGGGCCAAGCCGTCTCAAGCATTGTTTCTGCAATACCAACTTGCCCAGAGAATGGATGCTAATTATTGCACAAAGAGTAGAGGACACAAGCCAGGGAGGGACTCGGGCCTGGAAGGCAGAGAGGCGGGCTCTGAACTCTCACCTGTTTGGGAGTCATCTACCCTGCATGACCTCACTTCTGGGGTCAGCCTCAGGGTCAGCTTGAGGCCCATGAGCCCTGCTCAGCATGGGGACAGAGCCTTGTGCTGGCCTCCGAGGCTCTCCTCAGGGGCCTCTGGAATCTTATCTGCAGAGGGACAGTTCAGAACCTGCCTCCAGGTCCTAATGCTCATACCGTGGCCGGCCAAAGTTCAGACATACATGGCATCTGCCCAGATCTAACAGCCAAGGTCCCGAGCTCCACAGCTCTGCATCTTCTGGCTTTCTCTCACATCTGGAATCTGATAGAGCACAGCCAGGCCACCTGGAGCTTATGGCAGCTCAGATCATGAGGTCTGGGCAGGTCCCTTGACCTGTGCTTCACTGGCTGGCTTCTGTTCAAAATTCTGAACTTTTTAAGAAGATGGCTGCCTGTCTGCTGCGTGCTCACTGGGGCTGTATGGTATGTCTGAGCCAACTCAGGAGCAGACCTTGCTCCCATTTCTCAGGGCAGACCTCTATGCAAGCCCCTATCTCATTGATTCCCTTGAGGGTGGTGAGCAGGGGCTCCTGCCTGTTCCATTAGCTCAGTTTTCAAACTTAAAAATGACTAAAATAACAAAAAACCAAAACTAGCCTCTGTGTTTTCGTCTGTGGGGCAGGGTGGGGACTGATATCCATGACTGTTGGATCCCATCCCCCAAACCCCCACCGTGGAGAGCAGAGCTGAGTGTATGGCTTGCCCGTAACTGCAGTCTGCATAGACCCCAGCGTCAGCATGGCCCCACTCTGCAGTGATAGGCTTTGGAGTGACAGCCTCAAGTCCCTGGGGCAGAGGTCGCAGGGTGACTTACCTGGTGCTGGATGTAAGCATGGATCCTTTCCAGCATCCCTACACATGTATACTCGTAGGGCAGATAAGGCTCGACCTGTGCAAGAAATGGGCAGAGGGACCTGGCTGCCGGAGCCACACGCATGCTCAGCATCAGAGACCAGGTTGGCACTCTCAGCTCAGAAAGCCAGCCAACCATCCACCTGGCCCCTCTACTAGCTCACACAGCCTGTCCCCAGAGATACCCTCAGGGGTGTCAGTCTAGGATTCATACAGTCCAGTCCTCCAGCCCCACCCGTCTCCAAAACCCATCACTCCCCGAGGCTCCACTCCCAACTCTTCATCCCTCTCAGGCATCACCTACCCACCCCTGAGCCACCCTGAGCCTAGCCATCCTTGGGTGAGGAATGTGTTCTCAGTGGCTCTCAGGACTGACTGCTAGGGACCCTAACGGTCCTCTCCTAGGGTCACCATTTCCTGTTCATCCCCCATCTCCTGCATGAGCCTGCAAAGCCATTGAAGGTGGGGACTGTGGCTTGTCCACCACTGGCCCCCTTGTTCTGGCACAGTACCTGGCACACAGCAGGTGTTCAGGAGCCAGCCACACATACAGAAGCACCTACACCCACCCTGTATCCCACACAAAACCCAGAGCATTCACACTGAGGAGCACAGGGCACTTACACATCCCAGTTGGATGGAACAAGATGAATTTTGTCACACCCCCAAAGAAAGGCCCTGTGGTGTCTGTGCAAGTGTCTAGATGCTGTACAGCAACCTAGACTAGGCAGATGGATGGAGTATTTAGGAAGCCAGCAGAAAAGCCAGGCAGGGCAGCATGCTCCTATAAACCCTGCTTTGGTGTGGAGCAGGAGAGAGGAGATCCCTGGAGCTCACTGGCCAGCCAGCCTGGCCAAATGGACAAGCCTCAGGTTCAGTGAGAGACCCTGACTCAAAAAATGAAGGCTGGCCTTGAACTCATAGAGCTCCACCTGTCTCTGCCTCCCACGTGCTGGGGTTAAAGGTGTGCCCCACCACTGCCTGGCCTCTAGAGCTAACTAGTGGCCAGCTCTACACTCTGATCTTCAGGCAAGCTTTATTTGTTAAAACACAAACAAAAACATAACCACACTTCCCAAGTTATACTTCCCACAGTCCTGTCCCACCCTGCTCTGGTTTCTGAGCTGATGGTTGAATGACCAGCAGCTAGCTGCTGCCCAAGCCGGAAACTCAGTCAGAATACCAGGGCCCACCTAGCTCTGGTCTGGATGCCTCTGGGGCTTGTGGGGGAAGGTTTGGAAACAGCTATAAACAGGTCTTGGGAGGGAGATCTCCCTCCACATGAAGCTTCTCTGTTCCTGAGTGACAGCAAATAGCCCCTGTCACAGGCAACTCAAAGGTCCCCTGTGTGAGGTGCCTTCCCAGGCAGCCCAGCCAGCTTGAAGCTGGAGATGACCCCACTGGGTCAAACTGTAGGAGCAGCTGCCATCTGTCTGACAGTGACAAGGACTAGTCCCGTGGAAAATGGGGGATGAGGGAGGTCACTCAGAGGTAGCATGTCTCCTCCTGTCCTCCCACCTGGAACATCCCCATTGGGCCATGTGTCCACAGGCAGGAGTCACAGCTCAGGTTCTGTGCTTTCCTCGGGGTGGGGCATGCTGACCTGGGAAGCTTCAGTCTCCTTTGCCAGCCTCCTGGCTCCTCCTCCTCCCTCCCTCTCTCCCTGAATTCTCAAAGGCCCCACACTTGCAGAACAAGCCAGGACATTTCCTCAAGGTGGCCACATTCCCTTGAGACCCAGCCAGCTGTTCCCAAGCTTATCTACTGAAATAGGGCAATTGTCTCCCAGGGTGTCTGTTTGAAATGCAGATTTCAAGGCCACAGCTAAGGGGGCTGGCGCAGGCTCTGTGCTGTGAATTCCCAGCCTGCTCAGGCTATGTAGCCCAGGGTGCCCCAGAATCCCCAACCCTCCTGCCTTAGCTTCCAAGGGAGTGGATCTTTGAGATATTTGAGCCTCTCTGGGCTACAGGGGAAGAGAAGGCTGAGAGCTGCGACTCTAGCTGTTTTGGGATCCCTCTCAGATGGATAATACCTACTGTTTTCCTTCTTGTTTTATTTTTTAGATTAACAGATGTTCGGGGTTTTGTCTTTTCTTTTCCTTCCTTCCTTCCTTCCTTTCTTTCTTTCTTTCTTTCTTTCTTTCTTTCTTTCTTTCTTAAGACAAAGCAAGACTCAAAGGGTAAAAAGAAAACATTCTCTCCTACTGACACTGCCCATCACCTGGAAGTCACCAGCAGAAGTGACTCCCTGTGCTGGGTCCTGCCACAATCACCTGCTTCTGAGCCAAGGAAGCATGCCTCTGAGTGTCTGCAGGTGTTTTGAGAGACAGTTAAGGGACAGGGTCACCGGGCAGCACAGGTGGATATTCTCACTGCTTTCTGTCCATCCTGTGATCTACCACGCCCTCCCGGCCAAGATGGATGGAAACCTGGAAACACTCAGCTCAATACATTTTTTAATAAGTTCTCTTGGGGAAGCTATAGAGATGGCTCAGCAGTTAAGAATACTGGCTATTCTTGTAAGAGGTTCACAACAGTCTGTAACTCTAGTTTCAGGGGATGGATCCCTGTGGGCACCAGGCACACACTTGGTACCGACACACATGCAGGCAAAACACTGATACACATAAAATAAAAAGAAATAAATCTTTTAAAGAAGTGTTTGATGCTCTTGTAGAGAACCTGAATTTGGTTCCCAGAACCCACAGCGGTAGCTGACACCTCCCTATAACTCCAGCGCCACAGGAGCTGACATGACACCCTCTTCTGGCCTCTGTGAGCATGAACACACACACACACACACACACACACACACACACACACACACCCTTATAAATAGAAACAATAAAATAAACACTTTAAAAAAGGAATAAGTTTTCTTGGAATAACGTGCTCAGCACAAGGAGTGACTGGAAGCTGTGAAGACACCTGCTTCTCAGGTTTCCACCCTTCTCACCCTCATCCCTCAAATGCCCACACACCAGGCCTCCCACACTAAAGGGCTCCCAATTCTCTGTTCTTGGTATTCAATAGGCAGTCCTTGAACCAGTTCTGTGGCCATCCACACATGACACATGGCTTGCTGAACTAGAACTTGCAAGTGAAGCAGCGTCCCAAGAACAGCTGGGTGTGATCACAACTACTAACTGCTGCCCAAAGGGCACAGACCCATGCTGGCGGCACCCTGAGAACACCTGCTAAGTTCCTCACTTGTGCCAAGAGTGCTTGCAGGGCCTGGCCCTCCAAGGGGCTTAGTAAATGGTCTCTGACCCACAGTTGCCAAATAAGGAGGTGCAGGTTGCTCACAGCAGAGAGGCACTCTCTTCCCTTCCCTACACACCGAGTTTGGAAGGGACCCATGCCTCCCTTTCTAGTCCATGCGGCCTGATTCAGGGTTGTGCTAAGCAGGAACGGGCTGGACTCCCTTCCAAGCCTGAGCGAGTTCTCTGGGAAGTTCCTTCTGTCAGGGTCTCACCTGGGTGTTCATGATGGCCTTGACAGCTGCTTCAAACTCCTCTGAGTTGTTGTAGTCCACAGTCCACACGTGAGGTTTGCCGATGAAGTTCTCTGCATAGGGATGTTGGGAGAAGACCTGCCCAGGACCAACAGGAGGCTGCTTCAGCCTGCAGCTGGGCCGAGCTCAGGCACCCACCCTGATCCCTTCCCTCTCGGCACCCCAAGGCTCAGCACCCCTTCTCAGACTCCCAGATCTGGAGCAGGGCCCTTCGGCTCACCTCCCTGGAGGTGGGCTTGCCCCGGAAGAACTCGTGGTTGAGGGAGCTGTGGGGCGGGCTGAAGCGAGACTGAAGAAAGATGCAACCATTGGCAATGGCCTCCAGTGGAGCCGGACCCTCATAGGGAAATCCGAACCCTATAAAGAGCTGGAAGCAGAGGGCAGGCAAGACGGACGGCTCAGGCGCTAAAGGCACCTGCCTGCCACCAAGCCTGAAGATGGCTCAACTGGTAAAGGCACCAAGCCTGATGACCCGAGCTCAGCTTCCACGTGGGAAATGAAAATGAAATACATCGTTTTTGTTTTGTTTTGTTTCTCTTCAGTGGGTTAAATGAGATGAAGAACGTTTTACATTTAAAGAAATTAGAGAAGACACCATGTGGCAAAAACCCCTCCCCCAGTCAGCATTTCTCTAAGACAAAAGGATGTGCTCGACTGCACTGAGTTAGCCAATCAGCTAAAAGCATGAGGCTGAGCTCTGACCACTCGACTGAGGCACAGGACCCCTCTGCGCTGGAAATACAAACCCTCCTTACATGGCTATGCTCCCTCTGCAAAAACCTTTTTGGCTTTCATGAAATACTTTGGATTGTGTAGTCATTTCCATAGGACCCCAGACCCACTTGTAACACCCAGAACCCACACGGTGGAAGGAGAGAACTGAGACCCAGATGTTGGGTGGGGTGGGGTGAGCCAATGGTTAGGGAGGTTGAGCCAGCTCAGCCCAGGATTCCAGAAGCCAGAGGCAAGGATGGTCTCAGCATTCACAGGAGGCTGCAGGGGCAGTATAGACAGATCACTGGGGGCTATAAAGATGCCTTTCCCCTCCCTGGGTCTCAGTTTCCCCACTGTGAAAGGAACAGTCTGGTTCTATAAATGCCCCCTCCCCCCAGCTCCATCAAGCTATTCTTTTGGAGGGAAAAGAGAAGCCACCCCAGATATCCCAGCTCTCAAGGGCCCTTGGCTTGTTCGAGATGTTAAACATCCATCCTATTAGTGACCATATCCACTCCAGGAAGGTGTTCAATAAGTAATTCTTAGTCCAGGGCCACTGTGGGGGTTACCTCATCCTTCCTGCTCCCAACACATACATATCTAAGAGACCCAAGGAAAGGCCAGAGAGGGACTGGATGTCAGTGGGAGACTCTCTGGCCTCAGATGATGCTCCAGGGCCAGCCACAGGGTCATTCCCAGTGTACTTAGTATAGCTGCAGAGATCCAACTCTGGGGATTAACAGAAGCAGCCTCTTGGGACTAATGGCCCTGTGGAGACCCTCAGCTGTGTGGCTGCCCCTCCACAGCTTTTACAGTTTGGCCAGCCCTGGGACTCTGCTAGGACTGAGAGGGGAGAGGGGTACAGCACAGCTCCATTCCCATAGATCTCCCAATGGAGGTCTCCCGGCCTGCCTGATACCTGCAAGTCTGCTAGGATTCTGGGAGGCAGAGCACATGGAGGTGTCCAGCTTGCTCATCCATGGATGTGGCCCTCAGGGTGGGACATCGGCCAGAGCCTCACCTTGGCCTTACGCAGCAGCTGCTGGAACTCAGGCTGTGGCAGGAGACCATGGTTCTTTACAAAGGCAGGAACCTCAGGGGGCCGCTGGCTCTCATAGTACACCGTGCCATGGATCTCCATGTACTTGTTCAGGATGGCCAGGAACTTCTCCTTGCCCTGCACGAGGAGGAGCAGATGGGGGAGCCTCCCCTAACACTCAGAAGGCAGAGCTGGTACATCAGGCACCCCTGCTCCAGCATCAGAAGACCGGGCCTTCTTTTGGAATGATTATTAACTTGCTGTTAGACTTGGGCAAGGTCCCTCTCCTCTCTGACCCTCAAGATTTTCATCTGTGAGTTTCAGGGCTTGAACTAAACCAGAGGCATTAGGGTTGGCTCTAGCCATGGAACTGACTGTTTTCCAAAGAAGTCCAAGGAGACCCAGTACTTAAATGTAGCCGTGAACCTGAATTTTCTGAGGATCCGTGGAGCTCTCTGGAACTGTCTCACACATTCACCCATCCTTCTGTCAATGCAACCATGAATCTGTTTACACATACCCTGTCTGTCTGTCCTTCCATCCATCCATCCATCTACATGACCATCCATTCACATATCCATCCTTCTACCTACCTACCCACCCACCCAGAAGTACATCAACCCATCTATCCCTCTACCCACCTTTCCACCCATACACCCACACATGCATCCATCCATCCATCTGTCCATCCATCCATCTGTCCATCCATCCTTCCACCCACTCATCCATGCATCCTTCCTTTCATCTAGGAAGGAAGAAGGTGGTGGAAGATTGGAGACCTAGGGTATTAGCTGAAAGTGAGCTAGAGCGCCCTCACAGGAGAAATGTCTGACTTGAATTGTTTCAGTTGTTATAAGTTATTGAGGTGATCTGGGACGGTTAGGACCCCAGCTACAAGCTAGGAGTCAAAGCTCATCTTCTCTGGAAGAAAATGGCATCAGTTTTGATTTCAAATTATTCTTATGCCGGGGTTGGAGAGATGGCTCAGAGGTTAAGAGCACTGACTGCTCTTCCAGAGGTCCTGAGTTCAATTCCCAGCAACCACATGGTGGCTCACAACCATCCGTTATGAGACCTGGTGCCGTCTTCTAGTGTGCAGATATACATGGAAGCAGAATGTTGTATACATAATAATAAATCTTTATAATAATAAATTAATCATAATAAATAAAATCTTTAAAAAAATTATTCTTATGCCTTTTTTTCATATTTGTTTCCAGAACACATAAAAAAATTCAAGACAACCAAAAAAATCCTACTAAAAACCCAGAAGGCTTTGCAGCAGAAATGAATGGGGTTAGACTAATCTGGGGACTTAAAACTGAGGTACAACTTTGGACAAGAGCATCAGCAGAAGGAGCTATTGTGGCATAATCTTTTTGTGCATTGTGAAGATGTGTCTCTGCCAAGGCACCTTCTGATTCGTTTAACAAAGAGCTAAATGGCCAATAGCTATGCAAGAGAGGCAAGGCGGGACTTCTGGGAAGAGATAGGAACTCTGGGGGGAGTCAGGATTCTCCAGCCAGACATGGAGGAAATGAGACACACAGTACTGAGCAGAGGTAATGAGCCACGTGGCAAAATATAGATTAATATAAATGGGTTAATTTAAATTATAAGAGCTAGTTGAGAATAAGCCTAAGCTAAGGCCAAGCTTTCATACTTAGAAGTCTCTGTGTCATTATTTGGGAGCTGGCAGTCCAAGGAAAGACTCACAGAATAGCTGACCCCAGATCTAAGTGCAGCAGGAGCGGTGGGGACAGTGTGGTACTGACATTGTGATGACATATGAGTCTAGACTGAGATCCCACACCCAGTCACCCCACGGCTGAATAGGGAGGGGGTTTCTGAGGGGGAAGAAGGCATTTTCAACAAGAGATCTAGAGCACTTGCCATCCACACAAAAGAAAGGGAGAGGTTGTCCGAGCCTGGGACCCAGTGGGGTAACTCAGAATTGGAAGAATTTGAATCCGTATATCCCATCACATGGCAAACTTAACTCAAAATGGATCATAGACTCAAAAGCAAAAACTAAAACCATGATACTGACAGAGGAAAGCAGAGAAGCTGAGACTTTGGGGGAAACAGACTTCTTGGCCACAGCACCAGAAGTACTGTCCATAAAAGACAGCCTTTGATTTCTATTAAAGTCAAGGTTTAGCCAGGTGTGGTGCAGACCTGTAACCCCAACACTTGGGAGGCTGAGGCAGGAGAATTGCCACACGCATGACCAGAGTTACATAGTAAATTCAGAGCCCTTGGGTTACACAGCAAGACCCTGTCTTCAGAGATACCCATCTTGTCAGACTACTATAAACCTGTGACAGCTGACTTAATCCTACCCAATCTGGCATGAGAATTTTCAAATAAGACAAAGTGTCACCAGCTTGATGCAAGACACTAGCTATGTACCCCAGGATGACCTTGAACTTGTCATCATCCTGTCTTTACCTCCCAAATTCTGACACTCCAGGCTTGTTCCGACCACGATGCTTATGGGTACTGGAGCCTGAACTCTGGGCTTTGTGCACTCCAGATAAGCCACACTCCCCAGCCCAAATCTGACTTCATACAATCTGCTTCCTGCCTGTCTTCTGTCCCTCCCACCTTCAGCCTTGTCTGTGGCTGTGCCCAGGAACTTGTCTCTGTCCTCACAGGGACCCCAGGGAAGACTGCTCCTTGGACCCTGCTCTCCCCACTCACCCCTCCCCACCCTGGTACATCCGTGAAGCTCAAGTCAGAGTCAAGGACACATCCTCACAGAGACCCCACAATGTAGCCACTGCTGGAGGAAGGCATGCACGCACGCAGTGGGGGGAGGGAGGGGTCTGTTCCATACCTGGAGCTGCCTCAGCACCACGGAGCACAGGGAACAGAGAGAGCAGGTTAGTGACCAGAAGCAGGTATCACCCCTCACAAGTTTCCCGGGATGGGGGACCCAAGCTGGAAGGTAGGGTTCTAATTTGTAAGCCCCACCCCCACCTCTCACCCCACAAAGTTCCCGTCCAGCCTAAGCCTGCCTGTGGGGCTTCTTTCATTCATCAGTTCCAAGAAGTGGGGATAGGGGGTTTCCTCCACTGAGAAACCATCTAGGTCTCTGGGAAGAGCCCAGGGGTGAGGGGGCCTGTCACCATCTTATTGGGGACTGCCCTGAACCATTAGCAAGACATACAGTCTCTCCTCTGGGGTGCAGTGCAGTAGATGGAGCTGCATTCTGGATTCCCTGAACCCATGCACGGCCATGGGCTTCGCCGACACAGGGCTGGACAAGTCCTGTGATTGTGTGGCTGGAGCCTTCAGTCTTGCATGTGACCTGCACTGGAATCAGGTGCAGCAGTGTGGCTGTGGCAGGCACTTAGTGCAGTGGGCATGGGCTGTGCCAGAATGGGTGTGGCCTATACTTGAGTCGGCATGGCAAGTACAGTGGCTATGTCCAGCACAGGCATGGGCGTGGCCTACATTCTGGCAAGCGTGGCTTTGCAGTGGGCATGGCCTGCATTGGAGCAGGGCAGTGGGCCTGCCGGGGCTCACCTTCCAGATACTCGCCTCCTTGCCGTACACCACCGCCATGTTGCTGGCCTTGCTGTCTTTGATGAGCTGCTTCTCAGTCTCATTGAGTTCCTCAGACACGAAGCCCATGAAGGAGTTGTCTGGGGTGTGAGCTACAGTTGGGCCACAGAGAGGGGAAGACGGGGTTATCAAACAAACATCTGAGCAGCAGCCCCGGCCTCCCTGGACCTACCTCTCCCAGGAACTCCCACTGAGCACATGGGGACAGCACCCATGGGTGGTCTGGCCTGGAGAAGAGAACCAGCAGGGCCACCTGGCTCCGGCTTGTTTTCAGATGGCTGACTTGAGTCTAGGTAACCCAGCTGGGACTCCCCTCTCTGCTCACTCCCTTCTCCAGGGCACTGTCTCCATCTTGGCTCCTTTCTCCACCCCACACATGTCACCACAGGGGTTTCTCCTCTACAGTCCCCAGCACACTGACAGCTGTCTCCCTGTTTCCAAAGTTCTTTTCTCTAGAACAATCCTTTCTGACTTGGGTCCTATAAGGTTCCTAACCCTGCCCAAAGCCCCATGGGTAGGGGTGCTCCCTCTCACAATCTCCAGGCTCCACCCACTCCAGGTGGGGACATCCTCTACCCTGGGGGCCTAGTCTTCCACATGGCACTCTCTGACTGGAGGAAGTTCTAGTACAGACTATTCAGTTATTCTTGCCGGAATAAGGTCAGGTCTCAGCAGTGTCAGCTCACCAGTGTCCCCAGCTCACCTCAGTGTCCCCAGCCAAAACACCTTCACTATCACACCTTCCTGCCTTTGTTCTGCCTGGACTAAGCCCCTCCCTTTTCTGACAGGGTCCCTACCCCCACACACACACACCCTCAGGAGTCTCTCTGGGGTCTACCAGGCTCCCTTGGGGTCCCCTGACCATTTCTCTCCTGAGAACACAACAGAGAATTAAGATAAAGATTCTCTTCCAGAGAATTCACTTCCAGAGCCCCAGCCCCAGGCAGGGTCTGGCTTCCTCACTACCCCTCAGGGGCAAAGTGAGTTTTAGCTCCTTTTAATAATTTATTTATTATTTGGTTAGATTTTCAGAAAAGCATTGTTATTGCATTATTGTTAAAAGATTACCCAATACATACAATTTGCCCAGCAGGTTATATAATCAAAAGGGCTCTCTCCTTATTTAAGTAATGCTTTTAAAAATTAAGGTAATGAAGAAATTCCTCCTCCTCCTGCAGCAGTCTGCAGTACTGAACACAGCTGAGGTCCTGGGATCCAACGGGGGTAAACCTGCCCATCTTCAGATAGCCTTCCTGGGAGGGGCTCGGACCTGGAACCAAGTGTCTCCAGAGCTCACTGCCTTCCTGAAAGGGTGGAACTCTGGGGAGTGCTGGCTGCAAGCAAGGCGTGCTCAGTCTGCTGGGACAATCTAAACTCCTGTCACCCCATTTCCTACTCCAGATGCTAATGATCCATGCCCTAGCCTCCCTCAGCAGGGAGAGGTGGGCACCACAGGACATTCCAATCCATACCTGGGGCATTTTAGGCTCTCTCCTGTGTAACTGAGGGTGATCCTGAACTTCTGATTCTCCTGCCTCCGCCTTCTAACTGCTGGGATTACAGGTGTATGCCTGCATGCCCTGCTTATGTGATGCTGGAGAGGGAACCCAGGGTCCCATCCATGCTAAGTAAGCCCTCTGCCAACTGGACCACACACCCAGCCCCTGGTGCTTCCCACCACAATGCCTGGGAATGCTCATGGCCCTTGGCTGGTTACAGCACAGTCCCAGGCCTTTTTTTTGGCTTCAGAAGGTGAGGCAGAGCCCTGCCCGGAGCTCTCCGTGTGGTAACGAGGACAGGTGACAGTCCTGTTGTCACCTAGACTCTTCTCAACTTTAGAAGCACCCCCAGAAAGGCAGTCAGACCCTCCTGGATGGATGCCTGGCTGCCTCCCTTCCCTCTGCCTCCAGCTGGGCTGGTGGCCTCCCTCAGCTCAGTAGCTGAGGACACATCAGGACTGCCCTGCACTGCACCAGAAGGGACAGATTTAGAATATATAATTAGCTGAATCAGTCAGTGTGAATGGACAGGGAAGCATGGTGACCAATTAAAATGACAGGCACAATTACACAAAGAGCTCTAAGGGCAGGTGAAGGTTAGACCAGGGAGGAAAAGAGAGCCAGCCTGGGCTACACAAGACCCTGTCTCAAAATACTAGGAAGGACAGATTAATGATCAGGTAAGGAAGCACACCCTGTGGGGAACAGAGGACGAGGAGACCAGTGTAAGCAATGAGAGAAAGAAGGCACATTTGACTTGGGGTTCAGGAGGATGAGCTGGAGTTTGCCAAGTCTAGAACTCCACGTTCAAAGAGCTCTACCCATGCAGATTCTTGTAAAATATTTTCTAGCATTAATTAACTAATTAGCTGTGTATATGCATACGTGTGTGCACTTGTGTGTTATATAGTGCATGTGTGGAGGTCAGAGAAGTTTGTGGGAGTCGGTTCTCTCCTTCCACAGTGTGGGCCCCAGGGATTGAACTCAGGTCATCAGGCTGAGAGGCAAGCTCCTGTACTTGGTGAGCCATCTTGTCAGGTTCTTGCAGAAACCTCTTAGCCTCTTCTGTCTTCTGTCTCCACACTGACCAGAGCAGTGTGCCACTGTCAGAGGCTTTCCACATTATACAGGAACCACACTTCCCTCTGGGCCCCACAGAACTTCCAAAAGGGGTCCCCTGTAAACAGTGATCTCCACAGAGCAGTGTGCCCCCAGACAGGGTGCAATACCTCCCTGGGCCTCAGTTTCCTAATCTAGACCCTGGGCTGCAGGAATTGTACTCCAGTTCTGGAAGTTAGTGAAGCCATTACTCTCTGACCATGGTATCTCCTGTCTGCCCAGTGCAGTCTGAACCTAAGCTATTGACAGAAATGCCATGAGTCTGACGCCGTAAATAAAGATCATATCCTCTGCAAGGCCCCGGGAACTGCGCGGAACCCACTCTGCTCTTAATTTAGACACATCCCTAACGAGGCGGCTTATCTGGCTTTCTGGCCCAGAGCCTCTGAAGTGTCACAAATTAGATGCTTATGATGCTACTCTGCTCACAGCAAAGGAAGACTACAATTAAGAGTGACAGCTGAGGGCCAGGCAGATGGCTCAGGGTGGGGGAGGTGCCGGCTGCCAAGCCCGGCAACCTGAGTTCGATCCCAGGGTCAGAAGGAAAGAACAGGTTCCTGTAAGTTGTCGTGTGACCTCCACAGCATGTGTGTGCTCTAATGCCGCCACCCCCAGTAAGCACAAAAGAGTAAATAAATGGAATAACTGATACCTAATAGGCCCTTAGGCAAGAACCACACAGGAACGAAATCCCAGCACTTGGGAGGCTGAGGCAGGAGTTCAAACCCAGACCGGGGTACATATTGAGCTCCCTATCTCAAAGTTTTAAAAGGTAGAGACTGGGGTGCAACTGGCCTAACATGTACAAGGTCCTACATGTGGTCCCCAGCACCAGAAATAAAAAGCAAGATACAAATGGCTGACACTCAATTGGGCGGTGGTGGCACATGCCTTTAATCCCAGCACTCTGGAGACAGAGGCAGGTGGATCTCTGAATTTGAGGCCAGCCTGGTCTACAGAGCGAGTGCCAGGACAGCCAGGACTACACAGAGAAACCCTGTCTTGAGAAAGCAAACACCAGCCAAACAAACAAACAAAACAAATGGCTGACACTCGGCTCCTAAGGCTCACCTTCCACGGCTTCCTTCACTCCCTTCCTCAGGCTCACCCCAGGCCTGGAGTTTCCAAGTTTTCACACCCTTCAAGCTCATTCACCTGCTTCATTGCCATCCCTTTGCCCCACCCCCAGTTTCTCTGGTTGGTTTGGGAAACCTCTGGAAGGAAGGCCACTGGGCCCCCTGCTCTGAGCTAGGTGCTTCTCAGGACTCCCAGCCTTGTGTCAGCACTGGGCACGCCTCGTTCAGTCTCTGTGATTCCTGCTTCCCTCTACCCAAAGGGATGACAGGGGCTTGATGAGTTCCACTGGCCTGAGAGGAAGAGTGCACACATAGGGAGACCCACCCCTGAACACATGGGGAGACCCACCCCTGCACACCTGGGGAGACCCACCCCTGCACATTTGGGGAGACCCCGTCTCTCCTGGTAGCACTCACGGAACATGGTCATGAACTGCTTGGGGTTAAGGTTCCAGTAACCCCAGTTGGTCCGGTAGCCGTGGAGTGTGGCGTACTCCTCATGGTTGTACGCTGGCTCCGTTCCAAAGGTGTCGATGACTCGGATTCTGCACCTGCCCTCCCCCGGGAGAAACAGGACTCGGGTCATACCCTTGTGTGCCCCTGGACTAGGGCCACCCCTGTGACAATGCTGTGGCTAGGTCAGGGAAGTACAGTGCTTGGCAAGAGCTTCACTTAGGCGCTGCCTCATTGTGTGACCGTAGCAGGAGCTTCACCCTCTCCGTGCCAGCCTCCCTGACAGGAATAGCAGTCCAGCTGCCTCAGGGTAGCTTGGTCACTCTTAATGCCTGGCCCCTGGTTGGTACCCAGAAGCCAAACCTCCACTGGAGGAAGGCTAGGAAGTGTGGTGGTATCTGAAGGGGTTGGGGCAACTCTTCATGCCCAGAGTCATTTGTAAGCTATGCTTTGTTGGGAAGAACAGTGTCCATGGGTAGGGGCCTGGAGACTGGGCTTGGGAGGCTGCCCCAAGCCTCCTCTGCAAGGGTGACCCCTCCTAGGTCTCAAAAGAGGTCCCGACCCCGGCTTCCGTACTCCACTGCCACCCCCATCCCCAAAGTTTCTGGTCTGAAGCCCAGAGCTCTCACAGGATCAGCTAACCTAGGACCAGGTCACCTCTGAGGCCACAGCTCTAGAAACCCCACCCGCCCATCCTACCCTGAGTGAATGAAAGACACTGACACTTAGACACCCCCACACGAAGCTGCCAGCGTCCAGCATCCTTCCGGGTGACCCAGAATCTTGCAGACTGCTGAGGCCAGCAGGATTCCTGATTCCCAGGGAGAGGGGGCGGGACGGGCAAGATGGCAATGCTCAGACAGCACACATTAATAATAAAAGCAATAACGCCGGCCGTCACCTTCCTCTAATAAAATCACACTGGGTATTGATGGCATTAGAGCACAGGAATAAACAGTGCAAAACGAACCCTCTGCTGCCGGCTGCAGCACACTTGCCTTATCCTGGGGTCACTGAAGGGCACTGACCGACTCTCCCACCCCAGGCTCCAGGGCAGAGCTCATGACCCCAGAGGGGCTCTCTCCCACCCTCCTCAGCCCCAGGATGCCTCGGGGCCTCCTTCCAGGTCACCTCCCATCCCACAGAGGGATGGAGGGCTCTTGAGGGCTGTCAGTGATCTGGTTGGGGTGGGAAGGTGAAGGCTGAAACAGGAAGAAGGGGGGTCGTGTAGTGCTCCGTCCTGGGCTAGCTGGCAGGAGGAAAGGCGTGGTGACGAGCTGTGGTCCCATGGTCCCTGGGCCTCTCACCGGTACTTCTTGAAGGACAGCCCCATGTGCTGTTTCATTTGCTGCAGGCCATGATAGTCCGTGTAGATGAGGTCAAAAGGCAGAGGCACGGTGAGTGGGCAGTTCCCCCGGCCTGGAGGCACCCCTAAGTTACTGAGAGAAGAGCCCATTAGAGTCAGAGCCCAGAGAAACCCACCTTCTCAACCAGCCCTGCACCTACCCCATTCCCACAGCCGAGGCTGGAAAGCCAAGGGACTCAGCCCAAGGTCAGGGAGGCAAGAGCACACTCTCAGAGATGAATCAAATGGGATGGCCCTCTACAGTCATATGGACTTTCCACTGTACAAGGGCATCCACCTGGGGCGACACACACACACACACACACACACACACACACACACACACACACAGCAGGACACACACACACACACACATGACATGGGCTGTACACACACAGGGCTGGACACACACACACACACATACACAATGCAGGACACACAGCAGGACACACACACACACACACACATGCACACACACAGCAGGACACACACACACATACGCACACGCACACACACACACACACGACATGGGCTGAACACACACAGGGCTGGACACACACACACACACACACACACACACACACACACACACAATGCAGGACACACACTCATGCACACACACACAGAAATCCACCCCGGCTACTTTGCCAAGCAGTACACCTGGCCTAGTCCACCTGCCAGGAGGAAGGGGGTTTCTGTAACTCCAACAAGGCTAGCTTTGCTTGGAGAACAAGTCTGTTTCACAAAGTGCCATGAATGTGAGCCAAAGTCCTCAGAGTCCCTTCAGTGTTCACTCAGTGCCAAGGATTCCAAATGCCATGGCTGACCCAGCTTAGACAGGCCTCTGAGACCCCCCTCCCTGCACTGAGTCTCCTGGGACCAGAGGCCTGCCTGTACATGGCACTTTACAAACAATGTTTTTTGCCTGGGACAGGGCTGCTTTCAGTGACCCAGAAGCTATGGCTGGGTCAGAGGGAGTGGTGACCCTCTGTTGTCTGGCAGGAACCCAGGTGTCAGTCAGCTCATCTCACTGAAGCCTGAAGGACATGGCCATGGCCTTGCAGCTTCTTCTAGAACAACCATCTGCCCGGCGGTCTCCCTGGAGAAGGTTCTAAGCCTTGGCACAGCCACCACAGCTGCCGATTTCAACATTGTTAAATAAGCACTCTGCTCTCAGTCTATAAAATCATCACCTCCCACTTGGGCCCCTGCAGAACTGACTGGGAAGCCCCCTGGTTTCTCCCCCTTGGGCCTCATGCTCTGGCATTCGGTGAGTCTGCACTGAGCCCCAGTGTGAGATGGAGGATGAGCCACTGCTACCCATGACCCCCTCCGCCTTCACCTTATACTGAGTCAGAGTATAAAGCCCTGGGCTGAAATAACACCAGGTGCTGTGCCTGTTGGGCACATGTATCACCCCCTCAGGTGCTCCCATTTAACACATATTCTGTAGGATATTACAGGGCGCCAGGCCCTGTGCCCTGTGAAACTCGTGGTCCTTGGATTGTGAGACTCTCCAGGAAGAGTTAGTGGCCTGGAGAGGGATGAAGCTATGTGCAGATAGGGCAGGCATCTGGTCCAGCTGCTGGGAGCTGACTGGGTATTGAGAGCAAGGAGGACCATGGCCAAATAGGCCAAGGATGCTAAGAGCCCTTGTCTTCCTATCTCAGCTCCTAGGGACGCAAAGTGGCCTGTCAGTGAGCTGGGTGTCCCACCCTTTGCTTCTGGCAGGCCATTGGTTGCCTGCAAAAACAGGATGCTGGAAGAGGCCCCAAAGCCTCCTGGAAGCCCACACCATGAGCAACCTTGGGTCAGGGAGGTGACGGCTCTGACAAGGACAGATTCATTAAAGACATGAGGCCATGACTGATCCACTGCCTGGTTGTGTGTCGGGCTCTCTGAAATAATTCAAGCCAGGTGGAAAAGTACCAGCCCAGAATGCACTGTCCTTGCGTGCTCAGCCCATTCCAGGCTGGGGGAGGGGCTGGCTCACACTGTCCTCTGAGCAGACCATCCACAGTGGTCCCTTTCCAGTGATGTAGATGGCACCTGCCCAAAGAACTGCAAAGCAAAGATGCCAGGGTTGGGGTTACAGATGATTATAGTGGCATCAGGGTGGATCTGTCCCTATGGGCCATGACAGCATGAAGGGTGGGACCAGCAACCTGACTTGCTGAGCTGTCCCCCAACCACATGTTCCCCTAATGCCAGAAGCTGTGCTGCAGAGCCCAGGAAATAAAGACCCTGAGGACCTCATTCCTACATATGAAAGCTTTCATCTGGCCACACAGCCTCTGCCCTGTCCCTCCTCCCTTCCAGGGACTACTTTCCCATGACCACCCAAGTGTCACAGAATAGGGGCTTCTAAGGCAAGGATCTCCTGAGCTAACCAGCGATAGGGAATGTGCAGGGAGCTCATGAGCTGTGGTACCCAGCTCCCAGTCGGAAACTTTTCCAGGGCTGAACCATCATCTCTACTGTGCGGGGTATCTCTGCTGTGTCCTCTTCACCTCCAAACTCCTGTAGCAAAACCATCACCCCTCAAAGGAGCCTCACTGCTGCAGACCTCTAGAGCACCTGTTGAGTGGGAGGCAGCGCCGGCCCTTCTCTTGGCCTCACCCAGCTGAGAACTACAGACGAAAGACCCTGGTCTCCTTCGGCTGTGAGAAAGGGGTGGCTACTCTCCTCCTGATGGGAATCTGGGTTGGTAAAATGAAGACAGCTCTGAAAATCTGAATCAGAGGAGGATCGATCGGATCTGGGCCCAGGAGCCCACACCTATGAAATGACAGGTCTCCTCACATCTTTCTGGTTGCTTCCAGGCAATGTGTGTCACCCTGCTCTTAGATTTCCTTGGTTTGGTTTTGTTTGAGACAGGGTCTCACTATGTTGTAGCCCTGGCTGGCCTGGAACTCTCTATGTAGACTAGACTAGTTTTGAATCCGTGGAGATCCACCTGCCTCTGCCTCTCCAGTGCTGGGTTTAAAGTTGTCTGACACCACACCTGAACTCCTCAGTTTGTCTTAGTTGTCACCTTGACTGAATTTACATGGAAACACATCTCTGGGAGTATGCCAAGTATTGTTTTTTACATGGGTGCCAGGATCCGAACCCAGGTCCTTAGGCTTGCTCTATCTAAACTAATGCACTGTGACTATTGTAATTCTAAATAGCACTCGGTAAGATTTGCCCATTCCTCTAGAAAGGCACAAGTTATGGCTCTGTATTTTTTATATACATATAATTAGCTAGAGCTCCAAGCAGACGTCCAGACTTGGAACCAGAAGCCCCCTCAATTCTCTGTCCTCTTTTGGTCACAGTTGACAACTTCCAGCCACCCCTCCAGCTGCCTCTCCCTTTCCTGTTATCTTACACCAGGAGACATACCTAATGCCTGCCCTAAGTCACCTTGTCTCAACTGTGGGCTCCTAGAAAGCAGGTCAGATCTGAAGTTTCAGGACTGAGTTCAGGATCTTACCCAATAATGTCAGCCAAATGACTCTCTCTAGGCGGAGGAATAAAGAGCAAAGCATGTGGTGACCCTGGGTTGGGGGGGCAGTTTAGATGCGGGCGCTCCATCCAGCACCTGCTAGGTTAGCCCAGGTTAGCCCAGGTGGAGAGCAGCATCTAACAGAGCCCCTTGGCCATTTGACACCAGGGCCCCCGTACAGAAGGAGAAGGTACTGCAGAAGGGGCCGGGGAGAAGGAGCACGCTGGTTCCCTTGTGCCTTTTTCTGGGAGGAGGGAATGAGAAGCTGCAGCCAGGAGTGTGTTGTGTGTGTTTTCACCTTCTGCTGATTCCCTGAGGGGAGGCGGGCAGAGCTTCATTGATCCCAAAGGCACCTGAGTTCCAGGGAGCAGAAAGGTCAGCTACTCAGGGGGGTTGTGGGTTTATGGCCTATAATTCAAGTGCACTTTTATGGGCGATTTTCCACTAAGTGGCTGGCTAGAGCTGCCACTTGAATTGAGAAAACGCCAGCCTGACAGTCTCCAGCCAGAGGTGGCTCAGGCGGCTGCACACTGTTCCAGCCGGAAGACTCTCCTGATGCCTCAGCATCACTAGGACCAGGTCTTGTTCCATGGACCCATAGCCACAGAATCAGATCTCAGAGCTTCCCGGAGAAAGGTCACCCCACTGCAAACTTTTAGAACTGCCAAACCTGGTGGCCAGAGAGATGTCCCCTGGGCCACCTGGGTGGAATCTACACAAGCAGAGGGGCCAGTGTGAGGGCTCAGCCGGCAAAAGCTCGTGTTGCCAAGGCTGATGGCCTGTATTTGATCCACAGAACCCACATGGTGTTAGAATACTGACTGGAGCAAGTTGTCCTCTGATTTACACACACACACACACACACACACACAATTTAACACAGTGGTAGGCGGTGGCTAGGGTGGTTGACTAAGGACATGGAACATACTCACAGGTCACCTGGGTCCCTCCACCCCCATCTCTGTGCTCAAAACAAATCAATCCACCCAGAAAAGCAGCATCCCGGGCTACAGAGATGGCTACCAGTAGCTTTGCAAGCATGAGCCTTGCAAGCCTGTAAAAACCTGGAGGTGGCAGTGTGTATATATAAACTCAGTGTTGTCAAGGCAAGAGTGGCAGATCCCGCAGGCTCTCTAGCCAGACAGCCTAGCCTAGCCAGTTAGCTCCACATCCCAGTGAGAGATACTTCCTCAAAAAACAAGGTACAGGCTTGAGAGATGGCTCAGGGGCCAAAGTACTTGCCAAGCAAACTTGAGGACCTGAGTTTGTAACCCCAGAACCTACATAAAAGCTTTACTGGGGCCTGGTTCAGTTCCCAGCACCCACCAGGTGGCTCACAACTGTCTGTAACTCCAGTTCTAGGAGATCCGATGCTCTCTTCTGGTTTCTGTGGGCACCAGGCACATACGTGGTGCACAGACATACATGCAAAACACTCATAAACACAAAATAAAAATAAACAAATCTCTTTTGAAAAATTGAGTGTGGCAACCCAAGCCTGAAACCTCAGCTCTTGGGGGTAGAGGCAGGAGGATTCCAGGAACTCTAGGTAAACCGAGAGAGCTTGTCTCACAAAGTAAGGTGGAGGGGGCTACAGAGATGGC